TCTCACCTTTTCCCACAGCAAACAGACAACGGGCACAAACCAGCGGTGGGTGCCCAATGCGGGAGCAGCACCCAAAGCCCTGAAGCTCAGGATTTTGCTCTGCCCCCGACACATGCGGTGACCTTGGCCATGCTCTGCCGGAGTTTTCCCACAGCCAGAGTATTTTATCTGCTTCTGAGCACTTCAAGGCAGTTTGCCGAGCAGGATTATTCCCGGCGTGAGGCATTGCCCTGGCACTCTCCTAGCACAGGCGCCGCCGGCCATGAAGCAACCGGGGAATTCACTGCCCGGTGAAATCAGCACTTTTGCCTTCCTACAAAGCACCTCCCGCTCCGGGAAACCAGGCACAACTTTCACTTTCTCCCTCTCCCTTTTTCCCCACAGAGGAAATGCCCTCTTAAACACTACCGTGAAGCCCGGAGTGACGTGCCGGCACTGCTCTGACCACCACCCCGCTCTGCCCGTGACTTGGCAGAAAACACCGGGCTTGTTTGGGAAAGGAGCCACTCGGGGTGGGCATGGACCCTGCGCCTCGGTGGGGTGGGGGGGTGGACCCACGATGCGGAGCAGCCCAAACCTCCAAGCCAGGTCCAGCAGGCACAGACCCAGAGGGAAAACATGGGAAAAAAAGCAGAGAATATTTCCTTTGAATGCTTATCGTGGCACACTGGCAAGACCTCCAGTGCCTCAAAGGGAAGGCATTTCCTCTCCTCTCCTCTCTCTACTCTTTCAGGGAGCCCTGCATTGAAAAGAGGAGAAATTAGAGCATCTGCTTGCAGCCTTTCCCGACCGGCCCACGGAGGATCTATCAGCACCAGCAATACAAGATCGAGGGCGCTTGGCTTTTCCCAACCTTATTTTCCTCTTTTTAAGCTGCCAGATCAGCATGCTAGCAGGGCAGAGTGAGGAAATACCCTTCGTGATGCTTCCTACCAGGTCAGCAACACCACGAAGTCTTCCCTCGCGTGTACTCGACTGCACCGAGAGCGGGCTCGTTAGTCTCGAGTGGCTCATCTGCATTAAAACCCAACCACCACCAGCATATCCGCAGCCATGCAAACCCCCTTTATAAACCCCAACCCTGATAAAGCCACCACTGCCACAAGGCTGGGGCGACGTGTAAGGGGGGGTTCATGGCTCCTGCAGCCATCCTGGTGAGCAGACGGACAGACCACCCCGTCCCATCAGCTCTTCTCTCCTGGGTTAGGATTCCAACACTACGGGAGGGGAAAAGCCTCCTGCTCCCACCTCATGCCAGAAGGCACCAGCGGCATCTCCTGCCCCGGGGGAGCAGCACGAGGACTTTGCTTGCTGCAGCGGGAGGCGGCGAGGTCCGGCGCACACCTTTGCACCGTGGGTTGCGCAAAGCTCGCCTGGGCCCGGGGACTCCGGGGCTGCCTGGGACAGCACCCGAGGGGCTGCAGGGACAGGTCCAGGGTGGGTGCGCAGCTCCAGCTTCCATCAGAGACCTCAGGGGTGACACCTCGGGGACCTTCC